ATAGACCTGCTGACTTCAAGGTCTTTACAGCGACACTGCCTTTTTTTTTAGTATGAATTAGCTTGATTCTTGCTGGACCAAAGTCAAATGACTGGTTTTTTTTTATTTTTTATTTTTTATTTTATTTTTTTTTATAGAGACAGGGTTTCTTTTTTTTGGCCAGGCTGGTCTCAAACTCCTAGCCTTAAGCAATCCACCTGTCTTTTTTTTTCAAAGTCCTGGGATTACAGGTGTCAGCCACCATGCTGGCCCTTGTTGAGTTTTTTTTTGAAATGGAGTCTCGGTCTGTCGCCCAGGCTGCAGTGCAGTGCAGTGGTGCAGTGGTGCGATCTCGGCTCAATGCAGTCTCCACCTCTCTACCTCCCAGGTTCAAGAGATTCTCCTGTATTCAAGTGATTCTCCCGCCTCTGCTTCCCAAGTAGCTTGGATTACAGGTGCCTGCCACCATGCCTGGCTAATTTTTGTATTTTTAGTAGAGATGGGGTTTCACCATGTTGGCCAGGCTGGTCTCGAACTCCTGACCTCAAGTGATCCTCCTGCCTTGGCCTCCCAAAGTGCTGGGATTACAAGTGTGAGCCACTGCAGCCAACCCCTTGTTCAGTTCTTAATAACTGCTTAGGTTCCACTCTATTTAATTCATAAAATATTTAATTCATGAAATATTTAACTAACACCTATTGAGTGCTGGGTGCAGTGATAGAAGATAATTCAACTGGAGTGATTGACTGATTTTCTGGGTTGATGGGGTGGAAATAATGTGGTATAGGGGAGGCCACTTGATCTACACCATGAAGAAGTAGGACTTGCTTCATGACATGGGGGATATGGTGATTCCAGGCAGAGAAGCAACATTTGAAAGGGTGTAGAGGAATAAAAACACATGACATAGGCTGGGTGTAGTGGCTCATGCCTATAATCCCAGCACTTTGGGAGGCCAAGACAGGCGGATCGCCTGAGGTCAGGAGTTCAAGACCAGCCTGGGCAACATGGTGAAACCCTGTCTCTACTCAAAATACAAAAATTAGCTGGATATGGTGGCATGCACCTGTAGTCTCAACTACTCAGGATGCTGAGGGAGGATAATTGCTTGAACCTGGGAGGGGGAGGTTGCAGTGAGCCGAGATTGTGCCACTGCACTATACTCCAGCCTGCGTGACAGAGCAAGACTCCGTCTCAAAAAAAAAAAAAAAGTCCTTAGTATTCCTTGAGCCATAAATTGTGTGTTTGACCAGGCGCGATTGCTCACGCCTGTAGTCCCAGCACTTTGGGAGGCCAAGACTAGTGAATTGCCTGAGCCCAGAAGTTTGAGACCACTCTGGGCAACATGGCAAAACACCATCTCTACTAAAAATACAAAAAATTAGCCAGACATCGTGCCTGCCTGTAGTCCCAAATGCTCAGGAGGCTGAAGTGGGAGAATCGCTTGAGCCAGGGAGGCAGAGGTTGCAGTGAGCTGAGATTGCACCACTGCACTCCAGCCTTGGTGACAGAGTAAGGCCCTAACTCAAAATTTAAAAAAGTGTGTGTTTGTGTATGTGTGTGCGTGTGCATGTGAATAATGTGTGTGTGTAAAAATGTGTGTGTGTGTATGTATATTTGTGGGGAATGAGGTTGGTAAAATACATAGGCATGGGAGCCAGATCATGAGGACATAAAGTGTGTAATAAAGACATTTTGTTAATGGCTGGGTGCAGTGGCTCTGGTAGGGTACAGTGGCTCATGCCTATAATCCCAGCTCTTTGGGAGGCTGAGGCAGGAGGATCATTTGAGGTCAGGAGTTCGAGACCAGCCTGGCCAACATGGTGAAACCCTATCTCTACTAAAAATACAAAAATTAGCTGGGCGTGGTGGCATGTGCCTATAATCCCAGCTACTTGGGAGGCTGAGGCAGGAGAATCACTTAAACCTGGGAGGCAGAGGTTGCAGTGAGTCAAGATTGTGCCACTGCACTGCAGCCTGGGTGACAGAGCGAAACTCCTTCTCAGAAAAAAGAAAAAAAGGATTTATTAATAGACACTGAAATTTGAATTTCATTTTTACTTATTATTATTACTTTTGAGACAGGCTCTCATCTCACTCTGTCACCCAGGCTGGAGTGGAATTTCATGGTCGTAGCTCACTGCAGCCTCAGACTCCTGTGCTCAAGCAATCCTTCTGCCTCACCCTCCTGAGTAGCTAGGTCTATAGGCGCGTGCCACTACACCTGGCTAATTATAAAAATACTTTTGTAGAGATGGAGTCTTGGTATGTTGCCCAGATAGGTGTTGAACTCCTGGCTTCAAGTAATCCTCCTGTCTCAGCCTCCCAAAGTGCTAGGATTAGCAGGCGTGAGCCACTGTAGCCAGCCTGAAATTTGAATTTCATTAATTTTTACATGTCAAAAAATACTATTCTTCTATTTGATTTTTTTTCAACTGTTTAAAATGTAAAAATCAGCTGGGCATGGTGGCTCACACCTGTAGTCCCAGCTACTCTAGAGGCCAAGATGGAAGAATCACTTGAGCCCAGGAGTTTGAGGCTGCCGCGAGCTATGATGGCACCACTGCACTCCAGTCTGGGTGATAGAATGAGATCCTGTCTCAAAAAAAATAAAGTAAAATAAAATGTAAAAATCGTTCTTACTTGTGAGCCATACAAAACCAGGTGGCAGGGTGAATTTGGCCTACAAGCCATAGTTTGCTGACCCCTGACTTAAAAGATTTTTTTTTCCAGGTCAACTTTAAATGGCATTATTCTGCCAACTGCATTGGTTGGAAATCAGTTGAGCAGTGGGTTGGTCAGCTGCTTTGAGTCTGTTTTTAACCACAGTCTATTCTAAATATAGATTATTTACATCATCTGTGTAGCCTTGTATTTGACATATTAGTCTCTGATGGGAGGCTGGTCTAGGCAACGTTGAGGATCCCTTTCACCCTAATTCTAGTCCAAAGATTTTCTAACAAATAAATGCCAGGTATGGGGGCTCATGCCTGTAATCCCAGCACTTTGGGAGACCTAGGTGGGAGGATTGCTTGAGTCCAGGAGTTGAAGACCAGTCTGGGCAACATAGCAAGACCCCCATCTCTTCAAAAAAAAAATTTAAAAATTAGCCAAGCATAGTGGCGTGCACCTGTAGTCCCAGCTACTTGGGAGGCTGAGGCAGGAAGATCGCTTGAGCCCTGGAGTTGGAGGCTGCAGTGAGCCATGATTGTACCACTGCACTCCAGCCTGGGTGACAGAGTGAGAACTTGTCTCAAAAAATAAATAAATAAATAAAAATTCGTTTTGACTCCCTGTCCTCTGCAGCTTCTGTAGCAGTGTGCCTCCCAAAGTTTCTTCCTGTACCTTCACCATTTTCCCCTTCTCCTTCCCAGACTCAAGTCAGGATGTAAAGGTGGTGGTCCTGCAGGCTCTGTCCTTAGCGCTCTTCTCTTCTCCCACTTTCTATTCTCCCTGGACTTTATTTTTATGATTTTTTATTTTCTTGAGACAGGGTCTCACTCTGTGGCCCCATCCTGGTGCAGTGGTGTGATCTTGGCTCACTGCGATCTCCACCTCCCAGGTTTAAGAGATTCTCCTGCCTCAGCCTCCTGAGTAGCTGGGACTACAGGTGCACGCCATCCTGCCCGGCTAATTTTTATTTTTTTGAGTACAGCTGGGGTTTTGCCATGTTGGCCAGGCTGGTCTTGAACTCCTGGCCTCATGTGATCCTCCCGCCTCAGCCTCCCAGAGTGCTGGGATTACAGGCATGAGCCACTACACCCAGCCTCTCCCTGGACTTTAATCAGATCACGTCTTCAACTAGCACCTCTACATTGGCAATGTTGTGTATGTTAAGCCATTATATTTAGCTCTGACCTTTCTTCTGAGACTTAAAGCCTTTCCCAGTATCTGGAAGTTAAAGTCTAAACTCCTTAGCCTGGCCCTAGGACCAGCTTAGTCTGAACTCCCGATGCACTGCCAGGCCCCTGGACCAAGCCATGGCGTAGCTTCCAGCAGGTCATCTGCTTCCTCCTCCTTGTCTTTGCTCACACTCCTCCCTCTGCCATCACAAGCCTCTCTCCTTGTCTCTACCTCCCTTCCTCACCTCACAGCACTTGCCAAATCGATGCCCTGCCCTTTGACAACCCACTCAGAGGGCCACTTACCTGTCAGATTCAGCTCAAATACCTTTCCCTCCTTTTCTTTTCTTTTCTTTTCGTTAGAATCAGGGTCTGGCTCTGTCATCCAGGCTAGAGTACAAGGGCGAAATCTAGGCTCACTGCAGCCTCCACGTCCTGGGTTCAAGTGATTCTCCTGCCTCAGCCTCCTGAGTAGCTGAGATTACAGGCGTGCACCACCATGTCCAGCTAATTTTTTGTATTATTATTTTTAGTAGAGACTTGATCTCTCTATGTTGCCCACACTGGTCTCGAACTCCTGGCCTCAAGCAATCCTCCTCCTGCCTTAGCCTCCCAAAGTGCTAGGATTACAGGGATGAGCCACTGTGTCCAGTCTGAAGCCCTATTTCATCGATAAGGCAAAACATTTTTCCTATATGCCCATAGAGCCTTATGCACACCTCTGCTTTAATGCTTGCTTCCTTGCTACAATTAGGTAAAAAAATATATATATATATATATGTGTGTGTGTGTGTGTGTGTGTGTATATATATATATATATATAACTAAAAGAAAAGAAAGAAGGCTTCAAGGAGGCACAGGTATTTGAGCTACTCAGGAGGCTGAGGCACAAGAATCACTTGAACCCGAGAGGTGGAGGTTACAGTAAGCCAAGATCGTACCACTGCCCTCCAGCCTGGACAACAGAGTAAGACTCCACCAAAAAAAAAAAAAAGAAGAGAGAAGAAATTGGTGTAGTGTGGGAAGTAAACAAAAAGGAAAAACAAATGAATCTGTGAGTACACTCTTATGTGGCCTGCACTGACTTCGACACAAATTAGATTGGCTTAGTAGGCAAGGTGGGATCTTTTCAGAATTGTATTTGATGTCTTTAAATACATTTATCTTTTTTTCTTGTAGAAGGAAAATTCTTCCAACAATGGTCTCCCACTCAGAGCTAAGGAAGCTGTTCTACTCAGCAGATGCTGTATGTTTTGATGTTGACAGCACGGTCATTAGAGAAGAAGGAATCGATGAGCTAGCCAAAATCTGTGGCGTTGAGGACGCGGTGTCAGAAATGTAGGGATAGCATTTATCCACTTTATGAAATGATAAAGACTTTCTAAAGAGTGACTCTTTTGGATGAAGTGCTAGACCCTGGCTATGGAACATGAGCACTAGGCTTTTTCTTTCATCCCTTAGAGTTTAATTTGACATATTCATTCATTTATATAAATATTTATAGCAAACAAACATGGATAAGACATGTTCTTAGCTTGATCAGGGGAATGACGACCATCACTAACCAAAGAAGGTGGCCTGGGGAGCAGGACCCAGGTGTCCAGTGGCTTTGTGTCATGGTTTAAAGTGTGGCCTTAGTGGTTCCCTGTAAAGGTTCAGTGTCTCTTAGTGGATCCTGGAGCAGAGTCCCTCCCTCCCTCCCTCCTGCCCTCCCGCCCTGCAGCTGGGCATCTCCCTCTGCAGTCCCAGTCCCCCAGTCATGCACTATGTCATTTTTTTTTTTTTCCCGAGACGGAGTCTCATTTTGTTGCCCAGGCTGGAGTACAGTGACACAATCTCGGCTCACTGCAACCTTTGCCTCCCGGGTTCCAGCAATTTTCCTGCCTCAGCCTCCCAAGTAGCTGGGATTACAGACGCGCACCCCCAGGCCCGTCGAATTTTTGCATTTTTTTAGTAGAGATGGGGTTTTGCCATGTTGGCCAGGCTGGTCTCAGGCTCCTGGCTTCAGATGATCTGCCCACCTCAGCTTCCCAAAGTGTTTGGAATTATAGGCATGAGTCACTGCACACTGGCCTTTTAATGTTATTTTCTTTTTCTTTTCTTTTTTTTCTGAGACAGTTTCACTCTCGTTGCCCCGGCTGGAGTGCAGTGGCGTGATCTCGGCTCACCGCAACCTCCACCTCCGGGTTCAAGCAATTCTCCTGCCTCTGCCTCCTGAGTAGCTGGGATTACAGGCGTGTGCCACCATGCCCGGCTACTTTTGTATTTTTAGTAGACACGGTGTCTCTCCATGTTGGTCTGGCTAGTCTTGAACTTCCAACCTCAGGTGATCCGCCCGCCTCAGCCTCCCCAAGTGCTGGGATTACAGGCGTGAGCCACTGCGCCCGGCCTGTTAATGTTATATTCAAGCAGTCCTTCGAAAATTTATTCCAAGGCCTTGCTCTCATAGCAGCAAAGCCTGTCTGTTGTACAGTGGGACTCTTAGTAGCATCTTCCTGTTGGTGGATGTTGTGCAGGCCTGGGGCAGTAAGGTATGTTAACCTCGAGGACAGTGAACCTGGCTGGCCTGACTGTTGGGTCTCCCTCCTAGGACACGGCGAGCCATGGGCGGGGCAGTGCCTTTCAAATCTGCTCTCACAGAGCGCTTAGCCCTCATCCAGCCCTCCAGGGAGCAGGTGCAGAGACTCATAGCAGAGCACCCTCCACACCTGACCCCCGGCATAAGGTAAGAGGAGCCCCTGCTCCAAGTGTATTTCAGCACCAGTGTTGGGGGCAAGTCCTCCTGAGAGCATCTAACTATTGCTTTAGAGTGACCTCTGGGTGATTTATTTATTTTCATTTTTATTTTTTAATTTTATTATTATTTTTTAAATTTCTATTTATTTTTTCAAGATGAAGTCTCACTCTGTCACTCAGGCTGGAGTGCAGTGGTGCAATCTCAGCTCACTGCAACTTCTGCCTCCCAGGTTCATGCAATTCTCCTGCCTCAGCCTCCTGAGTAGCTGGGATTATAGGTCCCCGCCACCACACCTGGGTAATTTTTGTATTTTTAGTAGAGATGGGTTTCGCCATGTTGGCCATGCTGGTCTTGAACTCTTGACCTCAAGTGATCTGCCTGCCTGGGCCTCCCAAAGTGCTGGGATTATAGCTGTGAGCCACTGCACCCGGCCTATTATTATTTTTTTTAGAGTCAGCGTCTTATTCTGTTGCCCATGTTGGAGTACAGTCATGGCTCACTGCAGCGTTGAACTCCTGGGGTCAAGTGGCCCTTCCACCTTAGCCTCCTTAGTAGTGGGGACTATAGGTGCATGCCACCATGCCCAGCTAATTAAAAAAAAATTTTTTTTTTGAGAGACAGGGTCTTGCTTTGTCACCCAGGCTGGAGTGCAGTGGCATGAATACAGCTCACTGTAGCATCAACCTTCTGGGCTCAAGGGATCCTCCTGCTTCAGCTTCCTAAGTAGCTGGGACTACAGATGTAGACCACCATGCCTAATTATTTTTTTACAATTTTCTGTAGACACAGGGTCTCACTATGTTGACCAGGCTGGTCTTGAACTTGTGGGCTCAAATGATCAATTTTCCCACCTCAGCCTCCCAAAATGTTGGAATTATAGGTTTGAACCACTATACCCAGCCTTTAAAATATTTTTTGTAGAGATGGGGTCTTGCTGTGTTGCCCAGGCTGTTCTCAAGCTCCTGGCCTCAAGTGATTTTCTACCTCGGCCTCCCAAATTGCTGGATTTAAAGGCGTAGCCTGTGTGGTTCTTTTGGTACTTACACATGGTCTTGTCTGGTTGGTTGTGTGGTCCTGTCTGTTTCTGCTTTTCCTCTTTCTCCAGGGAAAACCTAAGTTTTCCTTGTTTGTCCTCATCTTGTGTTTTTCTGGGTCCATGGACAGAGTAGAGTTCTGGAATGGTTTCCTGAAGTAGCCAAACTCTACCCATTGATTTCTAAGTGCATTTAGAAAAACATATATAAGGCCGGGCGTGGTGGCGCATGCATGTAATCCCAGCATTTTGGGAGGCTGAGGCGGGCAGATCACCTGAGGTCAGGAGTTCAAGACCAGCCTGGCCAACATAGTGAATCCCTGTCTCTACTAAAAATGCAAAAAAAGTTGGTCAGGCGTGGTGGCTCGCACTTCAGCACTTGGGGAGGCCGAGGCGGGCGGACCACAAGGTCAAGAGATGGAGACCATCCTGGCCAACATGGTGAAACCCTGTGTCTATTTAAAATACAAAAATTAGCTGGACATGGTGGCTGCGTCTGTTGTCCCAGCTACTTGGGAGGCTGACGCAAGAGAATCGCTTGAATCTGGTAGGCGGAGGTTGCAGTGAGCCGAGATCGCGCCACTGTACTCCAGCCTGGTGACAGAGCGAGACTCCATCTCAAAAAATAAAATAAAATAAAATAAAGTAGCTGGGTGGGTGGCGGGTGCCTGTAATCCCAGTTACCCTTGAGGCTGAGGGAGGATAATTGCTGGAACCCTGGAGGTAGAGGTTGCTGTAAGCGGAGATCACACCACTGCACTGCAGCCTGGGCAACAGAGCGAGACTCCATCTCAAAAAGAAAAAAAAAAGAAAAAGAAAAACATATATAAAACATTAACTCCCCAGGCAATATACCTTGTCAAATATACCTCAGGCAAATGCATTCAGGAGAAGAAAATATATCTTAGTTCCCTCTTCATGTTTCCTTTTTTTTTTTTTCTTTTTGTATTACTCAGTGTTTGGTATTTTGTATATTATTTTTGCAGGGAGCTGGTAAGTCGCCTACAGGAGCGAAATGTTCAGGTTTTCCTAATATCTGGTGGCTTTAGGAGTATTGTAGAGCATGTTGCTTCAAAGCTCAATATCCCAGGAACCAATGTATTTGCCAATAGGCTGAAATTCTACTTTAACGGTAAGACGTTAATGGTAACATATTCCCTTTCTTAGCAGTTCTATTATTCAGTATTCTGGGTAATGTCTGTTGGAATGCAACTTAAACAGTCACATCAGAGTTAAATATTGAGATGAATGGTTCTCTTAATTGATGTCTTTTGCCCTTTGGTACCTTTTGCTCAGCAAAATAGACTTAGGTCATCACCTGTCCTAGCTTTATTATCTATAACATCACCTGTCTGTACATAAATGTCTGCATGTAGTGAAACATTAATTCCTATGAAGTCCCCTATGACTTACTTTGCTGTAGGTTGTATTTCAATTTTATGGGAGCTTCTATGCATTTGAAGCAATTTAGACTCAAGAAGGAGACTTGGCTGGGCTCGGTGGCTCACGCCTGTAATCCCAGCACTTTGGGAGCCTGAGGCGGGAGGATTACTTGAGGTCAGGAGTTCAAGACCAGCCTGGCCAACACAGTGAAACCCCAAGTCTGCTAAAAAAAAATACAAAAATTAGCTGGGCGTGGTGGCACATGTCTGTAGTCCCAGCTACTTAGGAGGCTGAGGCAGGAGAATCACATGAAGCTACGTGAGCTGAGATGCCACTTCACTCCAGCCCGAGTGACAGAGTGAGACTCTGTCTTAAAAGCAAGAAAAAAAAAAAAAGACAAGACAGAGACTTTAAAAGGGAGACTTTTGTTAACGGATTACTGAACTACCGCCCTTGGGGAAGCCTCCTGTCCCCTCTCTGGTCCATAGCGTTGCCACAGTTGTTATATTATCTCAGATCTCCAGTTATATCAAGGGGTGACTGATAGTGATTTTTTTTTTTTTTTTTTTGAGACAGAGTCTCACTCTATCTCGGCTCACTGCGACCTCTGCCACCTGGGTTCAAGCGATTCTCCTGCCTCGGCCTTCTGAGTAGCTGGGATTACAGGTGCCCACCACCACACCTGGCTAATTTTTGTATTTTTTTAGTAGAGTCGGGGTTTCACCATGTTGGTCAGGCTGGTCTCAAACTCCTGGCCTCAGATGATCCATCTGCCTCGGCCTCCTAAAGTATTGGGATTACAGGCATGAGCCATTGCATGTTAATAGAACATTCTTGAGTGGTCTAGAGATAGAGATCATTGAAAAAAGAAGTCAAGAATGAGTGTGGTAATTACTGTAACAACAGAAATAATTGATCAAAATAAGCTGGAATTTCCTCTTGGGTGACATAATATATTAACATTTTAAATTTAATATATTAAGACTGGGTGCGGAGGCTCACGCCTGTAATCCCAGAACTTTGGGAGGCCGAGGCAGGCTGATCATCTGTGGTCAGGAGTTCGAGACCAGCCTGGCCAACATGGCAAAACCCCATCTCTACTAAAAACACAAAACTTAGCCAGCATGGTGGCATGCGCCTGTAATCCCAGCTACTTGGGAGGCTGAGACACGAGAATGGTTTGAACCTGGGAGGTGGATATTGCAGTAAGCGGAGATCATGCCATTGCACTCCAGCCTGGGCAACAGAGTGAGACTCTGTCTCAAAAATAAATAAATTATTAATTAATTTGATATATTACTATTGTATGGTGTTCTGCTACCTCAACAAAGTTTGAGAATTACTGGAAGCTTGAAGGATACAACAAATTCACCCCTAGGTATTTATGACCTAATAGAGGTCATCTCTACAATTGATATTTGTAATTTAAAAGCAAAGGTTGGCTGGGTGTGGTGGCTCACACCTGTAATCCCAGCACTTTGGGAGGCCGAGGCAGGAGAATCACATGAGCCTAGGAGTTCCAGACCAACCTGGGCAACATGCCAAGACCCCATTTCTATAATCATAATCATAATCATAAAAGGAGAAAAAGTAAAGCTTGTTTATTCCCAGGAACAGGTGTGGAGCTCCAGGCTGTGCGACTTTACCCAGGGCCATTTTTAGCCTTCTCAGTGACATTTAAGTGAAGATATCATCTATGCAGAAAGCTGTCACTGGTAAGATACTTCTGTGGGTCTTTAACCTCGTTTTTATTGCTCTTTTAAGGTGAATATGCAGGTTTTGATGAGACACAGCCAACAGCTGAATCTGGTGGAAAAGGAAAAGTGATTAAACTTTTAAAGGAAAAATTTCATTTTAAGAAAATAATCATGATTGGAGATGGTGCCACAGACATGGAAGCCTGTCCTCCTGCTGTATGTATTAAGGATGCTAATATTTTTGCAGGTTGTACTTTTTTTTTTTAATATATTTATTTATTATTTCTTTATCTTTTTTTTTGAGACGGAGTTTCGCCCTTGTTGCCCAGGTTGGAGTGCAGTGACATGATCTCAGCTCACTGCAATATCTGCCTCCCAGTTCAAACCATTCTGGTATCTCAGCCTCCCAAGTAGCTGGGATTACAGGCACACGCCACCATGCTGGCTAAGTTTTGTATTTTTAGTAGAGACGGGGTTTTGTCACATTGGCCAGGCTGGTCTTGAGCTCCTGACCTCAGGTGATCTGCCTGCCTTGGCCTCCCAAAGTGCTGGGATTACAGGCATGAGCCACCACGCTCGGCCGTACTTTTGTTTTCACAGCTGATTTATCCTATAATCCCAACACTTTGGGAGGTCAAGGCAGGCAGATCACTTGAGCACAGGAGTTTGAGACCAGCCTGGGCAACATAGTGAGACCTCATCTCTACAAAGTAAATAAATAAAATAAAATAAAAACAACTGATTTAGAACTATGTAAGATTTAAAACAGGAGTTAAACAAAAACAACTCTGATTACAAGATAAAAATGAAATAATAAAAAATTCAATCTTGTTTTGTCAACTTTATGCAAACTCAAGAAAAGTTATGAATAAGGAACTAAAAACCTTTTAAAATTTTTAACAATGCCTTATCCCTGTAGTATGGGCACCATCTTTTAGCCTAGGTGTGTGCTCAATAGGTTGGTTTCATTTCCCCAAATAATACCATCAACAACTCATAACCGAGATTTTAACATCATTTGATACTTTATATACTAGTTCCTGATACATTACCTCATTTAATCCTCATAGCAGCCCTGTGAAGTCAAATATTATGTTTTGTTTTGGTTGTTTTAGAAAGAGTCTCACTCTGTCACCCAGGCTGGAGTGCAGTGGTGTACTCTCAGCTCACTGCAATCTCCGCCCTCTGGGTTCAAGGGATTCCCCCACCTTAGCCCCCCAAGTAGCTGGTACCACAGACGCATTCTGCCACATCCAGCTAAGATTTTGTGTTTTTGGCAGAGGCAGAGTTTCACCATATTGCCCAGGCTGATCTCGAACTCCTGAGCTCAAGCAATCTCCCCTGCCTTGGCCTCCCAAAGTGCTATCACAGGTGTGAACCACCATGCCTGGCCAAATATTGTGTTCTTCTTACTGATAGGGGAACTGAGGCTTGCAGAGATTATATGATTTACCTGTAACATATCAGAGCATTTTCTTTTTATTTACTTATTTATTATTTTTTGGACACAGGGTCTTGCTATGTTGCCCAGGCTGAAGTGCAGTGGTACAATCATAGCTTATCACAGCCCTGAACTTCTGGGCTCAAAGGATCCTCCCACCTCAGCCTCCTGGGTAGCTGGGATTACAGGTGTGTGCCACTGCATCCCACGCCACCACAGCATTTTATTCCTCTGAACTAACTTCATTTTCTGAGACTAGCAGAGGTTTTGTTTATTTTTTGGGGTCTTGCTCTGTCACCCAGGCCAGAGTACAGTGGCGCAATCTTAGCTCATTGCAGCCTCGACCTCCCAGACTGAAGCAATCTTCCCATCTCAGCCTCCTGAGTAGCTGGGACTGCAGGCGCATGCCACCACACCTATTTAATTTTGTTTATGTTTTGTAGAGATGAGGTCTCACACTATGTTGCCCAGGCTAATCTTGAATCCTGGCTTAAGCGATCTTCCTGCCTTGGCCTGCCAGAGTGCTGGGATTATAGGTGTGAGCCAACATGCCCGGCCAGGGATTTTATTTCTAAGCATTTTAAAATCAATGCGCGCATGTGCACTCTCTCTCTCTCTCTCTCCATATATATATAAAAAATCAAATACTATATATAGCAAGTGTCGTAAATATCAAATGGGTCCATTTCACGTAGGGCTTTGCCTTTGTCATGTCATTCTCATGTAAGAAAAACTACACTGGCTGGGCGCGGTGGCTCAAGCCTGTAATCCCAGCACTTTGGGAGGCCAAGACGGGTGGATCACGAGGTCAGGAGATCGAGACCATCCTGGCTAACACGGTGAAACCCCGTCTCTACTAAAAAATGCAAAAAACTAGCCGGGCGAGGTGGTGGGCGCCTGTAGTCCCAGCTACTCGGGAGGCTGAGGCCGGAGAATGGCGTGAACCCGGGAGGCGGAGCTTGCAGTGAGCTGAGATTCGGCCACTGCACTCCAGCCTGGGCGACAGAGCGAGACTCTGTCTCAAAAAAAAAAAAAAAAAAAAAAAGAAAAACTACACCAAAATATAGTGTGGCCAGGCACGGTGGCTCACGCCTGTAATCCCAGCACTCTGGAAGGCTGAGGCAGGCAGATCACCTGAGGCCAGGAGTTTGAGACCGGCCTGGGCAACATGGTGAAACCCCATCTCTACAAAAAATACAAAAAAATTAGCTGGGAGTGGTGATGGTGCCTATCATTGCAGTTACTCAGGAGGCTGAAGCATGAGAATCACTTGAACCCAGGAGGTGGAGGTTGCAGTGAGCCGAGATTGTGTGACTGTGCTCCAGCCTGGACGACAGAGTGAGACTCCATCTTAAAAAAATATATATATAGTGCTGAAGTTTTTACTCCTAGTTTCCTGAGATCTAAAAATAGGGATTGTCTAAAAAAAAAAAAAATTCATACTCTTTGTGAATGATGAATGAAAAAGGGTTCAAAGGAACCTTTTTGGCCAGGCATGAAGGTGACTCATGCCTGTAATCCCAGCACTTTGGGAGGCAGAGATGGGCGGATCACCTAAGGTCAAGAGTTTGAGACCAGCCTGGCCAGCATGGCAAAACCCTATCTCTACTAAAAATACAAAAATTAGCCAGGCATGTTGGTGGGCGCCTGTAATCCCAGCACTCGTGAGGCTGAGGCAGGAGAATCTCTTGAATCCGGGAGGCGGGAGATTGCAGTCACAGAGACGCCTCCACTGTATTCCAGCCTGGGCATGACAGAGCAAGAACTCCATCTCAAAAAAAAATAAAAATAAAAAGTCCGCCAGGCTGGTCTCAACTCCAACCTCAGGTGATCTGCCCACCTTGGCCTCCGCAAAGTGCTGGGGATTACAGGCATGAGCACCCACACAATAGCCTTTGAATCCTTTTTTTTTTTTTTTTTTTTTTTGGCAGAGTCTCGCTCTCGTCAACCCAGGCTGGAGTGAAATGGCGGATTCTTGGCTCACTGCAACCTCCGCTCCTGGGTTAAGCAATTCTCCCTGCCTCAGCCCTCCCAAGTAGCTGTGATTACAGCGCCCACCACCACGCCCAGCTAATTTTTTGTATTTTTAGTAGAGACAGGTTTCACCATGTTGGCCAGGGCTGGTGCGAACTCCTGACCTCAGGTGATCCACCCATCTCAGCCTCCCAAAGTGCTGGGATTACAGGCGTGAGCACCACAACCCAACCACCTTCGAGTATTTTTATGTTAGGTCTTAGATAATTATAAACCAATGTTGGAGTTGTCTAAGTAATGAACATTGGGCTACTAGTTTAATGAGAATACATAAAGTAAAATGAAGAGATTTCTCAGGAGCTCCCAATCTCGTTTTCTTTTTTTTTTTTTTTTTTTTTTTTTGGAGACGGAGTCCTCGCATCTGCACCCGAGCTGGGATGCAAGGCCTGATCTCAGCTCACTGCAAGCTCCGCCTCCCGGGTTCACGCCATTCTCCTGCCTCAGCCCCTCCCAAAGTAGCTGGGACTACAAGGCCGCCGCCACCCGGCCCGGCTAGTTTTTTGTAATTTTTAAGGTAGGGACGGGGGTTTACCGGTTAGCCAGGGATGGTTCTCTCGATCTCCTGACCTCGTGATCCACCGTCTCGGCTCCCAAAGTTGCTGGGATTACATGGCTTGAGCCACTGCGGCCTGGCTCCATTCTCGTTTTCAAGAAACGACAAAATCAGCCAGAAGTGGTGGCTCACGCCTGTGATCCCAGCACTTTGGGAGGATTGCTTAAGCACAGAGGTTCAAAACCAGCTGAGCGACATGGCAAAACTCCGTCTCTAAAAAATTACTCAGGGATTGTGATGTGCACCTGTCATCCCAGCTACTCAGGAAGCTGAAGCAGGAGGATCAATTGAGCTCAGAAGTTCAAGGGTGCAGTGAGCCATGACTGTGCCACTGCACTCCAGCCTGGGTGACAGGGTAAGACCCTGTCTCAAAAAACAAAAAAAGAACGACAAAATTGGATGGGTGCAGTGGAACATAACTGTAATCCCAGCACTTCGGAAGCTGAAGCAGGAGGAATTTGAGAGCAGTCTGGCCACATAGAACGACCCTACAAAAAAATTTAAAAAGTAGCCCAGCAAGTTGGTGCACACCTGGAGTCTCAGCTACTCAGGAAGCTGAGGCATGAGAATCACCTGAACCCAGGGGGCAGAGGTTGCGGTGAGCCGAGATTGTGCCACTGCACTCCAGCCTGGGCGACAGAGCAAGACTCCAATAAATAAATAAATAAATAAAAATAAGAATAATTTCTCTCTCTTTTCTTCCTTCTTAGGATGCTTTCATTGGATTTGGAGGAAATGTGATCAGGCAACAAGTCAAGGATAACGCCAAATGGTATATCACTGATTTTGTGGAGCTGGTGGGAGAGCTGGAGGAATAACATCCACTGTCACACAGCTCCGAACACCTTCGGATGGATTTTTACAAGTGATACAGGTTGATACTGTTTGCTTACAATTGCCTATTACCACTTGCTATAGAAAGTTGGCACAGATGATCAATACTTTAAACTACAGTTAGGACTCCTAGAAGATTGCTTTTTTTTTTTTTTAACTGTAGTTCCAGTATTATATGATGACTATTGATTTCCTGTAGAGTTTTGTAATCTGAATTCTTTCTGTATATTCCTAGCTATATTTCATACAAAGTGTTTTAAGGGTGGAGAGTCAAACAAACACCTTTACTCTTAGAAAGATGGATTCGGCAGCCTTCGGTGAATATTGGTTTCTCTTTGGTATATCAATAAAAGTTTATCCATGTGTCAGAATGGATTTGTGGAATTTGCAGTTCTGCCTCTTGGATATTGGAATACCCAATATTTCAGGTACTGTGTTGAAGCATAAACAGCCCCAGACAAGAAACAGGCTTAAGACTCTGCTTAGTGCTAGGCACAGTGTCCTCACCCCATGAGCCCACTCCCACTTCCTGAAGCCCTGGGGCCTCAAAGTCCTTTTTTTACTTCTTGGGATTTGTCATATATGAAATGTTACAAAGGGTTTTTTTTTTTCCTCCAATATAACAATAGAGTCTTAAACAAAAGTACTGATTAAAAATGGATATTTGGGCTAGGCGCGGTGGCTCACACCTGTAATCCCAGCACTTTGGGAGGCCGAGGTGGGCAGATCATGAGGTCAGGAGATGGAGACCATCCTGAATAACACAGTGAAACCCCGTCTCTACTAAAAATAAATACAAAAAATACGCCGGGCACGGTGGCAGGCGCCTGTAGTCCCAGCTACTCGGGAGGCTGAGGCAGGAGAATGGCGTGAACCTGGGAGGCAGAGCTTGCAGTGAGCTGAGACCGCGCCACTGCACTCCAGCCTGGGTGACAGAGCGAGACTCTGTACAAAAAAAAAAAAAAATGATATTTCGGCTCACGCCTGTAATCTCAGCACTCTGGGAGGACAAGGTAAGAGGATCACTTGAGGACAGGAGTTCAAGACCAGCCTGGGCAACACAGCAAGACCCTGTCTCTACAAAAAATAAAAACATTAGCTGGGTGTGGTGACACGCACCTGTAGTCCCAGCTACTTGGTGGGCTGAGATGGGAGGATTCCTTGAACTCAGGAGTTTGTGAGCTGTGACTGCGCCATTGCACTCCAGCCTGGGTGACAGTGAGACCCCGTCTCTTAAAAAAAAAAAAGGATATTCAAAAATCACATAAAGTAAAAGAAATAAAAGCAAGTTTTACCAATCACAAAGGCCAGCATTTTCCCCTAAATGAATTAAATATTAATAACTTCTATCAGCCTATATAAACTATTTCTTTTTTATAGATGACTTGGAAATACTTGAAAGCCAGGTTTACGTTTGTTTTGAGCAGAGCCAAGCAAGGGGAATTTCAGAACATGCTTTGAATGTGTGAGAGTCTATACCCTCCCTGGAGGAAAAATGGGGGGAGGGGAAAGCCACGGGGTTAGGAAGTGGATACTGTTGGATAATTCAGTAGAAAAAGCCATAAGGTTTTAATATTGAGAATTAGTGGAAAAATTTATCATTCAACCAAATTTGGCCAAATAAATAATTATTCAGCCACATAAGGAAATCAGATGAATCAAATTTCCTTCCAAATCAGTTTCTGAAGGAGAGACATGAAATAGGTTTGGCAACATTTAAATGAGATTCCAAACAATGAGGCCGTTCTTCCCAACTGTGAATGCCTCCTGGCCGCTCTCCTAGAAACTGTTTTGCGGTGTTTGCACTTTTAAGCAGTGCCAAGCCCTGGGCAGGACCAGGCATGCCAGGACCTTGAAAAGTGCTGCAAACGGCATCAGCCTCTGTACCGCCCGGTGCGCATGGCAGGGACAGGCCACTGGTGGGTGGGTGGGAGGACCGAGCCCCCACTGGTTTTCACCGTCTGACCGTCCCAGCTGCTACTGCCCCATGGGTTCTTCTTGCCCGCGGCCCAGATACAGCCCATTTCTCAAGACTGGGGAATTGCAATAGAGACAGAAATTAATTCATGCAGAACCAGCCAAACAGGAGGGCGGAGCTTTATCCTTACATCAACCTCCCCAAAAATTCAGAGGTTAGACTTTTTCAAGGATGCTTCGGCAGGCCAGGGGATTCGCTTCTGGCTGGGGGGGGGGGGGGGGGGGGGGGGGGGGGGGGGGGGGGGGGGGGGGGGGGGGGGGGGGGGGGGGCAGGAGGTCATCGGGTCCAGGTGGAGCCATTGATGGTCAGAAATGCAAAAACCTGGGCCAGGCACGGTGGCTCATGCCTGTCATTCCAGCACTTTGGGAGGCCGAGGCAGGCAGATCACTTGAGATCAGGAGTTGAAGACCAGCCTGACCAACACGGTGAAACCCCGTCTCTACTAAAAATACAAAAATTAGCAGGGCATGGTGGCAGACACCTGTAATCCCAGGTACTTGGGTGGCTGAGGCAGGGGAATCACTTGAATCCAGGAGGCAGAGGCTGTAGTGAGTGGAGAGATCACACCACGGCACTCCAGCCTGGGCGACAGAGTGAAACTCTGTCTCAAAAAAAAAGAAATGCGAAAACCTGAAAAGACATCTCAAAAGGCCAATCTTAGGTTCTACAGTCGTGATGTAACCTGCAGGAGTAACGGGCAGTTGCAAATCTTGTGCCTGCCCTCTGGAATAATAACTGGAAACGATGTTTATGTGTACACCTTGGCAGAATTTAGGCTTCTCGCATCCACCTAGCCTGGTGGTCTCTCACTAGCTTTATGAAGGCGGTTGAGTTTTGGGGAAGGGCTACTATCTTTTTTTTTTTTTTGAGACGAGTTTCACTCTGCCACCCAGGCTGGAGTGCAGTGGCACAATCTTGCCTCACCGCAACCTTCGCCTTCTGGGTTCAAGTGATTCTCCTGCCTCAGCCTCCTGAGTAGCTGGGATTACAGGTATGTGCCACCATGCCCGGCTAATTTTTTTCTGTGTTTTCAGTAGAGACGGGGTTTCACCATGTTGGTCAAGCTGGTCTCAAACTCCTGACCTCGTGATCCTCCCGCCTCGGCCTCCCAAAGTGCTGGGATTACAAGTGTGAGACGCCGCACCCCACCAAGCTATTGTCATTTAAGCTATAAACTAAACGTCTCCCAGGTTAGCTTGGTCCAAGCCCAGCTATATGATTAAGGGCAGTTTGAAGGCTAAAGGCGAGATGGGGGGTGGTTAAATTTACATCTCACTTTGTTAGAGTTTTTGCAGACGTGGTTTCATTTGTATGTGTGTGTCTGTTTTTTGTTTGTTTGTTTGTTTGTTTGTTTTTGAGACAGAGTCTTGCTCTGTCATCCAGGCTGAAGTGCAGTGGCACAATCTCGGCTCACTGAAACCTCCGCCTCCTGGGTTCTCATTTTTCTTTTCTGGTCCATCTTTCACAAGCATGCAAAGGTGGTTTCAGAGCACATCCACAGGGCTGTGGGCTGAACATAAGGTGGACATGAATTTGGGTCAGAGGGATCTGATCCCCTGATAAATACTGATGGCTGCATGGAACCCATTATAGGAGGGGCTGGTCCCACAGGCTGCCCAGCTCTCAGCAAACCACCCAAAAGCTGCTGTCTCAGACAATCCCTGCTTTGTTGTGTTGGAGGAGTGAGTTTGAAATTATGCAAGAACTGCACTAACCCCTTTCATACTTTTTGAATTCTGGACTCACTGGAAACAGCTACGGAACAGCTCTCCCATGAGTCACGCTCATGCCTACACTAGGATGGACTCAGGCATGGCTGATTGTCTGTGTGACGCCATTGTTCATTCCGATTATGAACACCGCCTGTGTAAACAGAAAGAGCTAAGAATTGGGATCACGAAGCCAAGAGCAGAAATTTGTCAGGGTATTAAGGTGAAACAATAAAAGGCCTTTAAAGCTTTTATATACTTAAAAAAAAATGACTTTATGCCCTCGCCCACTCCATTCTCTCCTGGTTTAACTGCTGCTTATTTTTTATTTTTCTTTTTTTGTTGAGACAGGGTCTTGCTCTGTCGCCCAGGCAGGAGTGCAGTGGTAAGATCATAGCTCACTGCAGCCTGGAACTCCTGATCTCACGCGGACCTTCTTCTTTGACCTCCTGAGTAACTGGGACCACAGGTGCACACCACCACACCTGGCTAATATTTAAATTTTTTGTGGAGATGGGGGTCTTGCTATGTTGTCCAGGCTGGTCTTGAACCCCTGGCCTCAAACGATCCTCCGTTCTCAGCCTCCAAAAGTGTTGGGATTGTAAGTGTGAGCCACTGCGCCCAGACCTAACTGCTGGTTTAATGATTCTTCCATTTCTCTCTCTTCTACTGGAGACAAGTGTGTCTCCACGGCACCTAGGGAGGCCCACTGGGGCTGCTGCTCCCAAGGGCAAGGCCAGGAGAGAGCTGCAGATTCCAGAGACTGGCCTCAGGAAGCAGTAACACAAACCTGATGGCTTTTGACCCTACGACCCTCAGAACCTTTATGAGCAGCTTCAGAAAACCTAACCATGAGTCACAGTGCTTATTTTCACATTTTGCAAGGTGTTTTCATGTCTCCTCATGTGATTCTCACAGTCCTAAGGTCAGCAGTATAGAAACTGCTGTCCTCTTTATTTTATTTATTTTTTTTGAGACGGAGTCTCGCTCTGTCACTCGGGCTGGAGTGCAGTGGTATGATCTGGGCTCACTGCAACCTCCGCCTCCCAGGTTCAAGTGATTCTCTTGCCTCAGCCTCCCGAATAGCTGGGATTACAGGCACCAGCCACCATGCCTGGCTAAGTTTTGTATTTTTTACAGAGACTGGGTTTCACTATGTTGCCCAGGCTGGTCTCAAACTCCTGGCCTCAAGTGATCCACCCGCCTCGGCCTCCCAAAGTGCTGGGATTACAGCACCTGGCCCTGCTGTCCTCTTTAACAGCTGGGAAATACCCTCACCAGAGTTAATGACAGCTGTGAGATCGCATTCAGAGCTGGAACCTGAGGCAATGATTTCCACACCATTCTTTATCTTATAAGTATTATTAGAGAGTTAACAATTTAGCAGGCCAGGATTATCCACCCCAAGTGAATACTTAACACTGTGGTCACAAGTGCTGACATATGAATACAATGGAGAAATTTTACTCCCTGAGATGGACAGCCTGTTTTGCAAAAACTTCAAGTGGTTTTCATCTATTTTTTAATTTTTTTGTAGAGATGGGGGGTCTCATTAGGTTGGGCTCAGGAACTCAAGATCAGCCTTACAACGTAGCAAGACTCATCTCTACAAAAAATACAAAAATTAGATGTTGTGGCTCATGCCTGCTGTCCGAGCTACTCAGGAGGCTGAGGCAGGAGGATG